CAACACAGCTGGGTCAGCAGGCAAACGCACACGTGCCCCCTACAATAATAAACAATCACGTGATTCTGCACAGCCAGCCCGCACTGTAGCAGTAAAAGTACAGTGTGCGGTCGCCAAGCGGTTAAAGACTAATTACACTTTTATTGCAAAAAAAATTCCCCTCTGGATGATCTATGTACATTGCAGGAACTTGAACAAACTTGGTTGCAGATTCCTACCATGTGTTTTTCTGAACAAATAGCTGTTTGGGTATCTGTGTCCATGTGCTGAGTGAATGGTTTTATAATTAGTAATCATCTTCTGCACTTGCAGGGCTCTAATGAGGAAAGTGGCAGGGTCTGCATCCCATTAGATGTGATTTTGCTGTGGAAGTATCTCACCAAAAATTATATTTTTGTTGCAGTGGATGCCCAAAATTTGACTTGCATCTTAGTGTAGACTTCTGGGAAAATAAGTGAGCTAATCACACAAAAAGGAAATCACATTTCTTGGGGGGGGGGGGGGGGGAGTACTATGAACACCATCTGTGTACAGAACACCACCATATTGCATTGCATTGTACACAAAATTACAGCGCTGCAGATTGCAAACAAAAGGTAAATCTTAATAACATTAAATGACAATATCCCACATGGCAGAAAATATATTTGAAATATATTTAAAAAATTTTCTTCCCAAATATATTGACATATATATGAAATACTACAATTTATATACTGCTTGTCGAAATGCATTTTTTATATATTACAAAATATATGAAAAATATTTTAAAAATATATATTTTTTAAATTTATTCTTCAGATTTTTTTTACATATAAAGAAATCATTTTAATATATATTTTTACATATATTTGTAAATGCATTCCAAAAATGTAGATTAAATGTATTTTTAAAGACAAACAGTATATTTGAAAATTTATTTTTTAAAAATATTTTTCATATATTTTATAATAAAACCGCATTTCAACATACAGTATATTTATTTATTGAAATATATTTTGAAATATATTGAATATGGCCAAAATTGTAGTATTTCAAATATATGTCAATATATTTGGGAAGAATATTTTAAAAATATATTTCAAATACATTTTTCTTCCATGTGGGATGGCTTGTGCCACAATAGTATAAGCTATGCCTCCCCAACACTTATGCTAACTATCCAGTGTAAGAAATATGTACTATATATACTTACCTATTTTCAGCCTCCTCTAATCGCTCACGTGATCCCCGGCCTCAGCAGGGTATAGGAGAGGGCTCTGACAACGGCTAGTATAGCCTGGAGCAGTGATGTCACCCATAGGCTTCAATGGCGTATCCATTGTCAGCGCTCCCTCCTCTCCCCTGCAGCTGCGCTGGCCGGCAAAGGGGAGGCGGATCATGTGACTGGACCAGAGCGGCCTGAAAATAGGAAAGCATTTACATCTTTCTTACACAAGTTACTCTATATAGGTGTGGGGGGGGGGGGCAGTTTTAAGACTAGGTAGGTGTAAGCTTGAACTTGAATTCCACTGTAAAGTATATGTGAAAGAAAAAAAATGTTTAGTTTTGGATAGAGTGGAGGTGGAATAGAGCATCTGTCAGTTTTTATTGATGTCTGTGTCCCCATTAGGAAGATTTACCCTCCACATTTGTCCTTGTGGCTGTTATCACCAAAGGTGAAGAAAATCCCAAATTGTGGGTTGTCACCAGAACAGGAATAGAGGGGAAATCTTCCAATGGGAGCACTAGTTCTGGTTGCCCTGGTAACATACATGAATTTCCTCACTTTGGATGGATTTTTTCACTTCCTGTTGTGGCTTTGGTACAGGAAGTGAAGGGAAATCTACCCAATAGAACACAAATGGCCAAAAAGCTGACAGGAGTATAACCCTCCCTTACTCTATCCAAACGAAATAAAAATGTTTTGCCTTCAAGTTCTACTTTAAGACCTTACCAGCAATAAAGCGAATGTTAAGCAGTGGTTTCTTTCCTTTCCAACTTCTAATGTTTGTGTAGTAAGTGGGTAGGAGCTGTCCAGTGCTGAGTCTTTGCTGCTGTGTTACAACAATTTAAAAAAAACAAAAAAGAAATGTGTGATAAATTGCAGTTTACCAATCCCTAGATATAACTTCATTAGTTTTCTTTTTTAGGGCTCATTTGGACTGTCATTCTCAATTTATGCAGCATTCTACATATATATTGTACATTCACATCAGTCCCTAACCATCAAGGGGCGTAAGGCCCCTAACTCACATTCATACATACACATACTGGAGCCAATTTAGACAGGATCCAATTAACCTGCCAGCATGTCTTTGGAGTGTGGGAGGAAACCAGAGTACCCGGAGGAAACCCACACAGGCAAAGGGAGAACATGAACACTCCAGGCAGGTGGTGCCATGGCTGGGATTCGAACCAATGACCCTAGTACTGCCCGGCGGAAGTGCTAACCATTTAGCCACTGTGCTGCCCAATAATTTATCAAAATGCTCCAGAATGCTTTTTCTTTTTGCAGGGAATCCAACTTGCTGTTCAGACACTTGGTTTGCTTTAAGTCTCGGTTCACACTGCTGCAGTCTCAAAGTCATGCGACCTTCTTGCAACTTCCTCACAACTTGCTTGCATCTTTTGTGATTTAACATTGCAGTCTATGGTGCTCAAGTTGCACCAAAGTCACAGAAAAGTAGTGCAGGAAAACATTTTTGTAGCTGCGACTTGAGTCACATTGATTAAGACAAAACTCATTGAAATGAATATGTTTTGATTAGTCATGCGACTTTACGTGTCACCTAAGTTGCAGTAGTGTAAACTGGGGCTAAAGTGTAAATGTGGCCAGGTTGAGAACATATGGGCATTCACATTTTCTTAACAAGCAGTAAATAGTCCCCAAACATGCCCCCATTGACCTCTGTAGCAGTAGGCACTGTGGAGCAATTCACCCTCAAAGTTTATAACAGAAGCACTGAAGGGGCCCAAGTCATTCTCTCAGCAGCTCAGCTCACCCTGCTTCTTAGCAGCATTGCCAACTTCTAATCTCTAACGTGAACACGGAGCCGGTGCTCTGGGAAAGGAAGGGGAAAAGAGCTCACCCTTCTCCCCTTCCTTTCCTAGAGCACCTGTTCTGTGTTCACATTAGAGATTAGAAGTTGGCAATGCTGCTAAGAAGCAGGGTGAGCTGAGCTGCCAAGAGAGATGATCTGAACAAATTCAGTGCTTCTACTGAGGATTAATTGCTCCACAGTAGCAACCACTATAGAGGTCAGTTGGAGTTTTAAATCAATAGTTTCAATTTCTGATATCCCCAACAGCTGCTGGTGAAATCACTTTAGAAGCAAATGGCATTTTAGCATTTTTATTGTAAGTGGACAGCCCCTTTAAGCTATGAATAAATAGTGCCAGTGCTTTCCATTTCTCCCCAACACAGCCCACCTTGTTCAGCATTGTATAGCTAAATAATAGGCGGCTTATTTCCTGTCATTATTCGGACTATAAAAGCTTAAAAGAAACGATAGCTGTAATTACAGCATGCCAACGAGTAAGAGAACATAATACATGTTGTTTATTACTTGCTGCCCATGTCTGAGGCCAAAGGCAGTTTGTTGATGAGAAAACTTTTCTTTCCAGAACTGAACAAATAACAAGACTTCCCATAACCTGAAGGCCGGGGGGGAGTCATCAAGGAACAATGTTTTTCTGGAACGTTTACTTTGTTTCTTTGTAACTATACAAAAACCAATAAAAAATACCTGATTTGAAAAGCTGGGTTTTTTTCTGAAAATCGTGGTTTTAATTAGAAGAGAAAAGTATTTGGAATATTTTTGGGAGGGAGGATCACATGCTTTTTTGGTTCCATTCTCTTGAAACACCAGACTGGCATGTGGACTGGTATTTGTATAGCTGGTAGCATGTAAGCAGAATCAAATTGACTTATGTGGTGCAGCCTGTCAGTAGCAACTACACAGCAATGTCCCAGTAAAGTTTTATTATCAGGTGATCCTGCCAGTAAGTCTGTTATTTTTCAGCTTCGTTAACAGATCAAGCTGACCAGCAATAGTGGCAGTCGGTGGGTTCATACAAACCATTTCCCACTGAGAAGGAGTGCTTACAATGATCAGCTTTTATTCAATTATGGAAAACCTTTATCCCAAAAGAAAAAAAAGAATCGTTTCTGTAACTTTTTAAAAAGTGTTAGCTAGAGCTAGGCTTTAAATCATGTAAATTCCACCTAAAGCTGGGTATACACTTTGAGGGTTTTGTATTTTTTGTTCAACCACACACGTGATGTGGATGCAGGAATCACCCCAACCCAGACACACCCCCCCCCTGTTGTGCTGTTGTATTCTGACAGCAGGGACTCTTCCTATGTCAGAATACACTGATCAGTGCTGCAGTCATTGACAGAGAGGCTGTTGAACCAGACAAATTTCAAACTGTGTGTACCCAGGCTAAATCTAACCACCCTTTCCACAGACAATGCTGCTGTCCAGGGGTGGCAACATTGCTTCTCCATAAATGCAGTGGAGGAATGAATGTAGCTGCCCATGGGCAGAGGTGTATTGTTGGCCAGATCACCAGGTTAAAATTTAAAAAAAAAAAGAAGAAAGGCCTGGTTTACACACATGGTTAAGCCCCCGCTCGCCCCCCTAAAGCAGCAAAGAAAGGGATTGTATACATGCCGCGACTATGATCTTTTGCATCCTGCATTTGGCAAAAATGATCCTTACCGTCATGCTTAGCTGGCAGCACCGCGTGCTAAATGCGACTCATTCAACTGAATGGGGCCACACTGTAACCACCTTTGCGACCACATGCAATGCATGCGATTGCGGCACAGTGGTGAGGGTTATTAGGGGTTAAAGCAGACAGCGAGGAAGTGACATAATGCCTCCTCACCACCTGTCAAACGCCCTTTGAAGATTGATTTACTGAGGATCGCTCTGCAGAGGGCAGCACAAGTGTAAACATACTCCATAAAGAAAAATTGCAGCCACCACATTTAAGTATTGGTAAACTGCGATATATTAGGTTTTGGTTTTGGATAACCTTTAAATGGGGTAAAAGAACACAGAAACTGATCTCCAGCAATGTACCTGTAACAGCACAGTTTCAGCACTGGACAGCTCCTACACACTGACAACACCAACTTCAGGCGTTGTAAAAAAATCCTACCACCTGCTCAACATTCACTTTATTGCCAGTAAAGGCGTAAAGTGTTACTAAACCCAGGACCCTGCATTCACTATATCCGGTCTCCCCGGACCCTGCATTCACTATATCCGGTCTCCCCGGACCCTGCATTCACTATATCCGGTCTCCCCGGACCCTGCATTCACTATATCCGGTCTCCCCGGACCCTGCATTCACTATATCCGGTCTCCCCGGACCTTGCATTCACTATATCTGGTCTCCCCGGACCCTGCATTCACTATATCTGGTCTCCCCGGACCCGGCATTCACTATATCCGGTCTCCCCGGACCCTGCATTCACTATATCTGGTCTCCCCCGGACCCTGCATTCACTATATCCGGTCTCCCAGGACCCTGCATTCACTATATCCGGTCTCCCGGGACCCTGCATTCACTATATCTGGTCTCCTCGGACCCTGCATTTACTATATCTGGTCTCCCCAGACCATGCATTCACTATATCTGGTCTCCCCGGACCCTGCATCCACTATATCTGGTCTTCCCGGACCCTGCATTCTATATATCTGGTCTCCCTGGACCCTGCATGCACTATATCCGCTCTCCCCGGACCCTGCATCCACTATATCTGGTCTCCCCGGACCCCGCATTCACTATATCTGGTCTCCCCGGACCCTGCATTCACTGTATCTGGTCTCCCCGGACCCCGCATTCACTATATCTGGTCTCCTCGGACCCTGCATTCACTATATCTGGTCTCCTCGGACCCTGCATTCACTATATCTGGTCTCCCCGGACCATGCATTCACTATATCTGGTCTCCCTGGACCCTGCATCCACTATATCTGGTCTTCCCGGACCCTGCATTCACTATATCTGGTCTCCCCGGACCCTGCATTATCTGTATTTGGTCTCCCCGGACCCTGCATTTACTATTTCTGGTCTCCCATGGTACACAGAACATGGAAATGCAACTATTTTAGTAATTATAAACTACTAAATACTTTTTCTCATCAGCAGTATATAGCAGTTGTGTGACTTCTATCAGTGTCCAGCTGAGCACTGGTTAAAGCTTGTAGGATACGTTTTCATTCTCCTCTGATTGTCCTGTGAGGCTGCATAGCCCCTGATCCAGGGTTTAGTAACTCTTTAACTGAAAGAAATGAAATGCTAAATATAATACATAAAGAAACTATATACACAATGTCATACATTCTCTTTATGAAGTCATTTTACTGGGGGCACACAAGCTTTTTGAAACCGATGATGTATTTCAGTAATGTTTCTTTACCACAAGAAAATAACAGGAATCATTTCTTTTTTTTATGCAGGTTTTGCAGATTTGTCCTAAAGACATGCGAGCAGATATCTGTGTCCACCTCAACCGCAAAGTGTTCAAAGAGCACCCTGCATTTCGTCTAGCTAGTGATGGGTGCCTGAGGGCGCTGGCCATGGAGTTCCAGACTGTACACTGTGCGCCAGGGGATCTCATCTACCATGCCGGGGAGAGTATAGACACCCTCTGCTTTGTGGTATCTGGCTCTTTGGAGGTCATCCAGGATGATGAAGTTGTGGCTATTTTGGGTAAGTGAAGATGGTTTATGATCTATTTGGATTGACATATCAGAGAGGGCAGAGCATTTCAAGAGGAAAAGGGTTGTCACCATTGCTTATCATTCAAAAATTATTAACGTAGCACCCTCTTAGATTGGTTGATCTGCTTCAGGTATTTTTTAACTTTAGCTCCTCTGTAATCAGTAGTGTGTGATTATTTTTGGCTGTTCTGGGTCTCACAGGCTGAAGGCTCAACTGCTTCCTCCTGCCTTCTAGTGGATTCCAGAATGCAGTGGGTTAGAAAAGGGAGGCCCCTGGCTTGAATATTTCTGTGATTTCAACCAATCCCTGGTGGGAAGATACCCATTAGGTGGCTGGGGGGGTGCATAAATAGTCAGGGTCCTGGAGCAACAGGGTTCTTGTCCAGCGGGAGAACACCCAGCCTGATGGGCTACTGCCCTTCTGAGCAGATTAGCTGAAGCCTGCAGTAATTCATCAATGCCTCAGTTCAATGGGAGCTAGGAGCCTACTTTCTAAGAGGGGCTGAAGCCAATTCAAAGCAGATTCACTGAGGATCTGGCCTGGGAACCCCCCAGGAGAAGTGTCTGGCTAATATTGGATGGAAGCATCCAAGCATACGGGGACATGAGATGTGAGTATAGGCCTAAGTGTGGGACCCTAGTGACTGTTTGCTGCTCTAACCCTTTGCTGAATTGGGACTGTTCCTTCCTTGGAGTTCTTGAGTTGCTTGTTCTCTTATTGTCTGCCAAGAGAGGAATTATCCTGAAAAGTGCAGCCAAGGCCAAAAGTGTCCACTGTAAATTTGTGTACTAAATTTGGAGTACTCAAAGCCTATCCTGCACCCCAACCAAGTCCAATGAGCATTAAGTCTTAAAAAGACATTCCTTGCCTGGATATTGAGTTGTGGGATTGTTCGTGCTGTTGTGTGCCTAGGTGCCTTTACACCCACAGGGGATGAGTACCTGTAAAAAATCTTCAGGGCCCATCAGGGGTCTGTGCTACATGTACACCCTTGGACATTTGCTTTAGTGATTCTGTTAAAGTGGAATACTTGTTTATACTATGCTGTTCAGAGGAGGCACTAGGCTTTGTAAGGCCTTAGGCTAAACATCACAAAGATCACCACTCATGCCCATAATGGGAAAAATAATTCAAGTGGAAAAAAATTAACTGGGGAACGGTAAGGCAACCATTGGCAGTTCCAGAGTGGGACTAACAATTTAGGTGTGCTGTAACCCATAACTATATCCTCTGTGTTAGGCCAGGGGGGAGAGTGATGGTGAGGTGGATGGAGGGGGGAAAAAAAAACACAGGTTTGCAGTGTCTCACGGCTGACAGAGCAAATAGAGTACATACCAACCACAGGCCAAGACATGCAATGCCAACCACCACACTACAGTGACTCCACTAACCCCTAATCAATGCTGTCCTGTGGAGCACCCCTCCTTGTAGGCCCAGCAATGTCACAGCTCATTGTCTGGTGTGTGGATCTCCAGAAGGGTTACGCAAGAGGTGTGTGTGACAGGGCTCTTAACACTGCCTGAGCACAGCAACGTTAAAGTCCCCTATCCCTCAAAACTGGGGTAATGGGTTAGTAGATACATCTGTTTATCTGCACCCCTCACATTCTGTAGATACAGCTGTATACCTTCACCTCCCTCATATTGTATATAGAGCTGTATAGCTTCATTTCCTGCACTCCACTGTAGTCCCTTGAGTCTCCAGGTTCATATCCTTACTGGGCATATGTCCTACAATCAAGGACATCTGTGGCTCACGTACAATGTATGGTGTTCCTAAAATACAGGATATCTACTGAATGGATAGGATAAGTTGATTGAATTAAATTGATTTTGGTTTGAATGCTCATAGGGTTCCAAACACACCCTTTTGTTTTAACAAATTAAACTGATTTATAAAATGCTTACTCTGGAATGTGGCCAGTACTAAGTGGAAGAGGACAGCGGAGTCAGTATTTATTAGGCAGACTGCATCCCTTAAGTTATGTGTCTCTTGAGAAGAGGAGATTAAGGGGGGATATGGTCTCCGTGTATAATACATTAGGGGGGATATGATCACCATGTACAAATACATCAGTGGTTCACATAGTGAACTCGGTGTAGAGCTATTCACTCTGAGGACAAGGGGGCACTCTTTACGTCTGGAGGAAAATAAATGTAATCTCCAAACACGGAAAGGTTTCTTCACAGTGAGAGCTGTGAGAATGTGGAATAGACTCCCTCAAGAGTTGGTTCTGGCCAGCTCAGTGGATTGCTTCAAAAAAGGCCTAGATTGTTTCTTGAATACACAGAATATAACTGGATACTAACATTTATAGGTAAAGTTGATCCAGGGAATATCCGATTGCCTCTCTGGGGATCAGGAAGGAATTTTTTCCCTTGCAGGAGCAAATTGCATCATGCTTTGGTGTTTTTTTTTTTGCCTTCCTCTGGATCAGCTGTGGGTATAGGATTATAACTTTTTTTTTTTTTTTTTTTTAATGGTTGAACTAGATGGACTTTTGTCTTTTGTCAGCCAGACTAACTATACGTAAATATATATGTCGAGGGCTAGTAAACTAAAGGGGAGCACTGCCATCTCACCGCCACCCTTTTTTAAAATGACCTCAGACTTTTCGAATTGTTTTTTTTTTACCTTGGTGTCATATGGGCAAGCCCTTATTGATATTGACAGAAAGGTTAGTGGGATTTCAGCAACCACTTTCTTCTACAGCCATTAAAATGGACAGGCTCAAAATTTATCAGCAAACTCAAGATAAAAGATAATGGGACAGAAAGGTAATAAAATATAAAAGAAAATGAAGAAGGTTTAGCGAAAATGTGTCCCAGGTTAAAATCTGAACCATATGATCATTTTCTTTATTCTAAAGAACTTTTAAAGGAAACCACTAGCAGTCGTTACAAAACCTGTCATTTCTGACCTCAGTTCTGCAAATGCTTGCTCTCATGCTTACTCTGCAACACTTTCTGCTTCAATACATTTTTATTGAAATTTACAGGTTTACAAAGGTTGAGTATACAAAAAAACAATAAAATTACAGAAGGTGCAGTAGGAAGGGCTGGAGTACCCTTTACAGGTACCAAGAAAATTCGGTAACATCTAAGACTAATACAGCTAAAAATTCCATAGGTAGCAGATTCATAGTAGCGAGAGGACAACAGGTACTGCAGAGAATGATACAGATTCTACACAGTCCTAGAGAAGACAGTTCAAGACAAAACCCTTTGGGTATATCAAGGTTTTGCTTGTCTGGAATGGTAAAGAGATGAAAACAGGTACCTGTACAACAGCCCTCTGAGCGATCTGAAATGGAGGGCAAAAACTAAACAGCCCAACTAAAAAAAAAGGGAGTGGTTTGGAGGGGTGGGGTAGGTAAAGAAGCCAAGGACAGGTTGAATGGAGGAGAGGAAGGAGGAAGTAGAGAAGAGGATGGAATGGAGGATATGGAAAGTGTAGTGCCTGGGAGTGTCAGACCAGCCTAGTGGCTTCCCTGCAACACATTCAATTAATCAAATAATTACTGATTATTGAAATATTTGGAACTATTCCTACATTATTGCTTCTGGGGTCAGGGCCCACACTAGCGTAGTCTGAAGCTTGCTGGTGATACCCTGCGTAGGAACGTATGTACTACTCTCCACTTGGCTCTCCTACAGGCATGTGTATTCTTTCTAAAATCTTGAGTGCTTTGTGTATTTCTTCCAGATCTGTGCAGTAATTCAGTGTGAAA